ACACACACACACACACACACACACACACACACACACGAACAACCCCCCATGGCATCTTCCAAACAATCGAAGGACTCGGTTCCCGAGTATCTCAAGCAATCCCATGAGCGGGTGTTTGAGAACAACCGTGCCTGGGTGGCTGCCAAGAAGCAAGAAGACCCCGCATTCTTCGAGAAACTTAACGCCGGCCAGACCCCGGAGTATTTGTAAGACTACCACACACTAGCTGTTTGAGATTGTTTGATGGATTCGATGGACTGATACTTGGGACCCATCTATTCCAGATATATTGGCTGCAGCGACAGTCGGGTCCCCGCCAATGAGATTATGGGGCTGGAGGCCGGCGAGGTGTTTGTTCACCGCAACATTGCCAACCTGGTCCCCAACACCGACCTCAATGTCATGTCCGTCATCAACTACGCCGTTCGCCACCTCCGCGTCAAACATATCGTCGTCTGTGGCCACTATCAGTGCGGTGGGGTCAAGGCCGCCCTGAGCCCCTCCGACCTGGGCCTGTTGAACCCCTGGTTGCGCAACATCAGGGATGTGTATCGTCTCCACGAGCGCGAGCTGGATGGAATCCAAGATGAAACCGCCCGGTACAAGCGGTTGATCGAGCTGAACGTGGTCGAGTCGTGCCGGAATATCATCAAGACCGCCGCGGTGCAGCAGAGCTTCCACGAGCGCCAATTTCCCGTGGTGCATGGGTGGATCTTTGACATGGAGACGGGTCTGCTGCGGGATCTGGAAATTGACTTCGAGGAGACTCTGCGCGACATTAAGAAGATTTATAACCTGGCTCCCGCTTAAAGCTTGGACCGGGTAGTGTAGTGAGTGACAGTGTGCCAGGCGGATCACTATAAAATACTCAGGACCTTTCCATGAGTCCACATCTAGATTTCTTTCCCAGTTAACAGCCCGTAGTCTAAAACGAGTCAGTTAGTGCCTGGTCAGGTGACACTGCAGTCGCATCATATGATTGATTCTTCCTCGGTCGGAGCGATCTTCCTTCGTTGCCTGTCAGTCCTCAGCTATCATAGATTCCCACAAGCATCCTTCACCCCTTCTGAGATCGAATTACCTCAGCTGCTTGAAATCTACTATGGTGCCCCGGCACAATCTTTTCGTCAATATTTGAAGCCCATTGGCTCGAAAACCGTCTGGGACAGTGATGAGGACAAAGGGATGTCCAATGCGCCCGGGCTGAGTCCAGATTGATCCCGTCTACAGAAAGACAGCCCTCGATTGTGTCTGACCCAATGGCATAAGCGCGGAGAGGAAGGATGGTGAGGAATGCAAGTTAGTGTTCCTCAAGTGCAGCGCGAGCTGAATCATGGCTGGGTTTCTGTGGCTGATGTGACTGTGATGGAGACTGATGGCAGCAGCTGAACACACCAGGGGTCATGCATATAGGATGGGATGAGATGATCAACCCTCGCCTGTTTTTCCTTGTTCAAGACGGAAACCACCAGCACACGTTATATAATCCCGCTCAATCCCTTCTGGGGTCGAAGACTTTTTGTTCAAAGCGACTCATCGACACAATGACTCTTTCCACTCCACCAGGATCTGCCATCGTGACAGGGGCCGGGTCGGGCATTAACCCGGCCCTTTGCAACCCTCCTTCTTCAGAACGGGTACAACGTCCTCATTGCTGACTTGGCCTTAACCGAAGAGGCCCAGAAGCTCGTCCAACAATAACGAACAGAGCCCGGCCCACGAGCGGTGTTCGTTCGAACGGATGTCCGCATCTGGGCCCAACTCCGAACTGTGTTTGTTGTGGCTGAGGAGGAGTTTGGCTCTGCTCGCCTTGCCCATGTATGCAATTGCCAAGCGCGGGATCCTCGCATTGATGCAGTCGTTGGCTTCTTTGGAGGCTGCGGGCATAAGAGTGACCGCTGTCGCCCCGGGCATAGTCAAGACACCCATTTGGTCACAGGACAAGTTGGCGCTGGTGGATGAGTCCGTCGACGAGTGGGTCACCAAGCCTTACATGCAGTCACGGTCTACAGGTTGTTTTTAGCCTCGGTGTCACACTTATAATACTAGTAGTATAAATAAAATTTATCGAGAGCAATTCAAAAGAGAACTCTTTTCATTGAAATAACTTACTAAAGTATAAGGCGAGGATTTACAAATAAGCGGTGCGGAATCGCAGAATATATCTCGGAGTAACTCAGGGAGTACAGCGAAAGGATTCTCGCTGGAATTGGACCCTCAGAGATAGTAAAATCATAGTGGCTTTCCCTTTATAGTATCTATTTTTGAGATGCGGGAAACTCAAAAATGCTTCATAAGATTACTTTCAACTTGTTCTATTAAGAGCTTTGAGGGCCTGTCTTCTCGTTATACTGGGGGCTCACACGGTTAACGGATCTGGAATAAGATTGTTCCAGCCTCTGCCCGTGGACCAATCCATGATATCACGTGCCTCAGCTCCAAGCGGCTTCGAAACATTTAGCCCCGTTGAGCCATCTACACACTCATGACCTGATCTCCCACCTCACTTTTGACCATGGCTTCACATCTCTGATTAGTCTACAAGAGACTATTGATTCCTAGTGAAACATTCTCGAACCATGCAATCTGAAAATCTAATGACCCAAAAAGAACCCCGATCATGACAGTCAAGCGTCCGCCAGCATGGCTCCGCGAATCATTCAGACTTACGTCAACCACAACGCCAGTCCCGTACCTGATGTCAATATCAACAACCCCCATCGCCCATCGCCGCAGAGCAGGTCTCGAAATGGGTGCAATACTTGTCGGTGAGTTTCGCCGAATCAAGAAGAGTGGAGAGAGAAGAAACTAACGTGGTTCATGCCTTCCGTAGAGTCCGACGGGTGAAATGCGATGAAGAACGGCCGCACTGTCGAAGATGTCAGACCACCGGTCGGAAATGCGATGGATACATGCAGGTCCCCGCGAAGCAGCGACAGGCGAACGGTCCCTCCGAGATGCGCATCATCCAGCATACACCACAGGTGACCCAGCCCACCCACATGTGGATGTTCCCCGCCGTTGACAAGCTCCTCACCGAAGAGGAATACCGCTCCCTGGAATTCTTCCATGTGCAGACTGTCGCGTGCTTTGGAGCCCGCGCGGGAGGTTGCCTGCTCAACGCCGCCTGCCAGGACCCCGGGATAAGACTGGCTGCTATGGCGTTGTGTTCTCTGCAGCGGGTGGTACTGCACGGGGACAATACCCCGCCGCATGCCCGCTTGAGGGGCAAACAACTCGCTTTGCAGCAGTACAACTCGGCCATCCGACGAGGGCTGAAGTACTTTCCTCGCAACGGCGACGGATCGGCTGACCGCATTCTGTCCTTGTGCGTGCTCTTCTTTTGCTTCGAGAGCCTGCAGGGCCACTTCCGAGCGGCCTTCCGGCACGTCGCCGCCGGGTTGCGTATTCTCGCACAGCAGCAACTGCGAGGACGCCCCGCGGGATACCCTTTGTTGCCACCAGACGTGATTCAGTCGATTTTTGCCGCCTTGGAGAGCCAGATGCTGGAGATTGACGGGAAATCACCCCTGTCCGAGAGCGAGGGACTACTGGGACGGGGTGGATCACCGCAACGCCTATGGACGCTCGAGGAGGCCAACGATTCCTTCCGCCACATCTACAATGACTTCCTGCGACTGTTGAGTTTCTCATCGACACTCGATGAACCACACGCCGAAGCGGAGAGGGTGCAAATCATGGAGCAAATCCTGGCGCGGTATCATCAGGTACAGGCCGATCTGGACGCATGGTCACTGGAATTCGATCAATTCCTCGTCAACATCTTTCGTTGGGACGGCGCCGACCGCGCTTCGCAACAATTGGTCCGGATGCTTCAGCTATGGCGCACCATGATGGGCGTGCTTCTGCATATGGAATGGCCTCCCGCAGAAACCGCCTGGGACGGTTACCTCAGCGAGTTCACCACCATCCTAAACCTTGCCGAGGAGATCATTCTCATGTCTCCGTCCGTCGAGTCGCCTCGCTCCACTCCGGTGGTAAAAGCTCGCAGCCCTTCTGACTCTAGCAGCCCGCCAGAAGAGCGCCTTTCCTCGTCCTCCCGTGAGAACTCACCTCTTCGGCACGAATCTCCCTCGATCGCTTATGCCGCCATTCTGCCTCGGCCGCCCCATTCCTCTCCATCGTGTTTCTCGATGTCGTTGGGGATCCTGCCCGCATTGTGGACGGTCGCAACGCGATGTCGAGACTCCCGAGTACGGTACCGCGCTATCGACATTATCAGTCGCAGTAAGCGACGCGAAGGAGTCTGGGACTCAGATCTCTACTTCCGACTGGCGTTGCAGATCGCTCACCGCGAAGAACAAGGGGCAGGTCTTGAGGTGGGCGCTGAGTATACGCCGGCGGATATCCCGCCCGAGGTGCGCGTGACGGTCGACGGGAAATTCGAAGAGGGTCGCGAGGCGAATATCACTTTCATGCGAGAGAATGTGAAGATTGGTGAGGAGATCTTCCAGTGGTGATTTCGACGCTGGTCAATGCAGTCCCGCAAGTTGAACGCATCTTGGCTTGAGATAGATAATCATTAGGTCGTGTGCCCGTTGTCGCTTGTTGTGGATATCTCTGAGTCATCAAGATACATAACTAGCTATTCACCTCATTTAGGCCAGTTATAATGAATTAGTAGATAGGGCATATAAATTTTGAAATACAATCATATCATGAACAGGTACTATTATAAGCCTGTACTATACCAGGTAAGCGATTTATTTCGATAGCATTGACTTTAATTTCGCTAAATTGAACTTCAGAAACCAAGTACAAATTCTAATATTAATACACAGACCCCATGACAAAACACGAACCAACGCAAGCTCAAAAACAAACAAGAACTTTCAGACAGAATTAACAAATCGAATTTGGGGTAGAATCAACAATCTGGTCACGCCTTGGTGCGGCCGAACACCACCTTGTTCTGTGGGACGGTGGCCTCGTCACTGGGGAAATAGCCAATCTGGCGCATGTAGGTGATACTCTTGCGCAGAGACGCCAACAACTCATCTTTTTGCGGGCCTGGCTCGGCTCCATTGGGCTGACCGGCCGTTACAGGCTGGCCCATGTAGCCACCGCCGCCTTCGAGGAAGTGCAAGACGGGCCACAGGCGATGAGATTCGCCCTGGGCGTGCACCGCCGCCTTCATTGACTCCAGCCATTCGGTCGGTCCCATCGGTTGCAGAGCGTATCCGAATTCGTCAATGAGCATACGCCAGAGCTCCTGCGTCGTCACCGCCAGACGGACCTTGTCCTCGATGCGCGGTTCCTTAATAGCACCATCGCGCGAGAGTTGGTTGGCAATCACGATGGAAGCAACTTGCTGGGCACCCGCCAGTAGGATGACGCTCTCAGGTTCTTCTGCGTTGAAGCCACCGGTCTCGACGGCACTGGCCACGACGCGCCACAAGAAGTCGTCGGTGTTGGACACGCCGGACTGGGCAGTGCCCACGATGAGACCCGGCTTTACGATCGAGGCAGCCGTCGTCGAGTACTTCTGGGCAAAGCGCTTCACCACGAGGTCGGCCACGAACTTGGACTGTCCGTATCCGGTTGAGTGGGCCAGCTCGGCCGCCAACATCTCGTCTGTAATGTTCTCGTCCAGGGGCACATGACCGCCGGATACGAAGGTGAACTTGGGAGGTGCAGGAGAGCGCGTCAAGGCAGCCAACAGCGAGACCACGCTGGAAACATTCACTGCGCGCAGACGGTGGTAGTCTGCTCCCCAGTGGACCATGGCACCGTTGTGGATGATGGCATCGATGCGTGAGTCGGCATCGGTGCTGCGGCCCTCGATGGCAGCCCATTGTGCGGCGCTCAGACCGAGAAGCGGCGCCGCGAGATCTCCGACCCAGACACTCACGCGCTGGCGGTACTCTTCCTGCCACCACTGCGCTGCACTAGCTGACGCAACTATCTTTTCCATGGCATGCTGCTCGTCGCGGGCACGAACGATGGCCACCACCATGCGAACGTCGGGGTTGACCAAGAGCTGTCGGAGAATTTCACTGCCCAGGAAACCCGTTGCGCCCGTGAGAAGAACCCGCTCAGCGCGGTCAGTGGGCTGAGGCAGGGTTTCCACGTCCGACGCCTCGGCAATCAGCGACTCCATCATTACATCGGCCTCGGCGAGCAGATCGATCGCTGAGGATGCTTGCTCTTCGGCGGCGTTGTCGCCTTGCTCGATCATACGTGCCACATCCTGAATAGTGACGGTGCTGTCCATTAGGCGCTCAATGGATAGGTTCACGTCGAATTTGTCGCGGATCATCGCCCGCAGCGAGACCACGGTGATGGAGTTCAATCCGCTTTGCGACAGGACGATGTTGCGACCCTGTAGCGATTCGAGGTAGGCCTCGTCATCGCCCGCCAACAGTTGACTGATGGATTCACTCAGGGTCAGAGCGAGTGTGTCGACTGGGTCAATGGGAGCCGCTTCGTGGCTCGCCGTTGTGCCGCTCTGGGCGGCGATCAATTCATTGGTCGAGTCGTCCATGTTCTCAAGCCACTTCTGAAGCTTGGAGCGGTCGATCTTGCCAGAGGGGAGGAGAGGCAAAGTGCCCACGCCGATGAAGGTCTGGGGGACCATGTAGGGAGGAAGATGGGTGGCAAGGTGGTGCTTCAGCTGACCAGGAGACATCAGGCTGGCATCTAGATCGGCAAGAGACAAGGGACGCAAGTCCGAGGTTTCTTGGGAGTCGTCGTGATCATTAAGCGTGTACACCACGACAATACTCTCCTTCATGCGGCCGGCGCGTGGAACAGCCACGACGCCATGTTTGATGCCGGGGAATGTACCGGCATGGTGCTCAATCTCTCCCATCTCGATGCGCAGACCACGGAGCTTGAATTGCGTGTCCTTACGGCCGACGAAGTGAATCGTGCCGTCCTCGTTGAGTCGGACGAGATCTCCCGTCTTGTAGAACCGGCGAGGAGTCAACGAGCTGGTGCTGGGCAAGAGCTGCACCCAACGGGGATTTTCGATGAACGCCGCGGCGGTCTTCTCAGGTTCGTGGAGGTAGCCCCGACCGACGATGGCACCTTCGACCAGAAGCTCGCCGACTGCGCCCATGGGCAGGAGAATGTCATGGTCTTCGCCGTCAACAACCCAGATATTGCAACCCATCTTAGAACCGATGTTGGCAGGCTCAACCGCGGGATCGCTGACTTCATTACAAGCCACCGCGACAGAGCATTCACTGGGCCCATAGCCGTTAATAAGATGCAGCTTTCCGGCCCAGGTCTGAATGTCGACCTTGGCCAATGCCTCACCACCGAGAATCAGAGTCCGCAGGCTCGGCACCTCCGAGGGGGCGATGGTGCGGGCGACAGAAGGCGTCATGAAGGTCCACGTAATGTTGAGGTCATTGATAATGTCCGAGACCCGAGCACCCTGGTGGAAGTCTCGGGGGAGGCAAATACAGCCGCCACCAATTAGTCCTGTTAGCATCTCCAGAATACTAACGTCGAAGGTGTACGGGGCAATTTGCATAATCCGTGAAGACTGCGAGATGCGGGACTTTTGCGCGTGGTGAACGGCACCACTGAGGAAGTTAGAGTGTTCGATCACACATCCCTTGGGTCTGCCGGTACTGCCAGATGTGAAAATGCAGTAGATAATATTGTCCGGTGTCACTGCAGTCACGGGGGGTTCGCCATGGGAAGGAAGGATATCAAGCGAGGCGGGAGTCACGCAGAAGACTGCAAGCTTGCCTCTCCAGGTGGGTTCCAGGTCAGGGGACGTGAGAACCAACTTGGCATCAATCTGCTCTAGAACGAACTCGAGACGATCAACCGGGTGGCTGGGGTCGAGGAAAACAAATGCACTGCCACTCTTCATCACAGCAAGCATGGCCACCATCGCCCAAGGAGATCGGCGGAAGAACAACGGAATGATTTTATCAGGCCCAGCGCCAAGCCCCGTCAAGAAGTATGCCAGGCGGGTTGAAAGATCGTCAAGCTCGCCGTAGCTGATCTGGGCTTCCTGGGAATCGATTGCGATCGCCTCTGGCTGCAGTTGAGCGCGCTCATGGATCAGCTCATGAGCCAACCGGTAAACACGATCGTCTGGGGATTGGTTGAGCTCTTCCAGCATTTGGATGTCATTGTCGCCCAAAAGCTGCACCTCCTTCAGTGGCTTGGTGCTCGCGTCTCTACCACCAATTTGGTTCACGAGGAAGTCGAATTGGTGCAGGATGTTAGACATTTGCTTTTCAGAGACGACGTTGGTGTCGTATCCAACTGAGACTAGGACTTGTCCATCCGCCACTTCACATTCAGCCACGATACCAAAAGCTGGAATGTCAAGGTCAGTGACAGGAATACGCTCCAAACCAATGGGAGAGATCATTTGATCCTGTTGAGTCTGGACCAGGATGAGGTTCTCGAATTTGCATGCGGCCTGGCACTCAGGGCTGAACTTGGCGATGTTTTGGAGACCAACATGCTCGTGTGGGATCATCGCAACCATTTGCTTCTGCACGTCCTGCAGAAGGTTCTTGACCGTTTGCGATCGATCAAACACAAGTCGGACTGGCACTGTAGTAATGAGAGGGGCGACAATCTCGGTGCTTCCGGGGACAGGAGCGTTGCGGCCAGTCTGGGTCATACCGAAGACCACATCGTCGGAGCGGGTATATTGAGATATGTTGAGAGCCCACGCAGTTCGAAGGATTGTAGGCACCGTAATATCGGAATCCGCCATTTGTGGTAGGCTGATTGAGTGGGTCATTATTCCCTTGGCCCTGGTTCGGTAATTCTTGGGGACGGATGGGAATTGGGGTGCGGAGCAAGCGTCAAAGGTCGACTTCCAGTACTGTCGAGTGGCAGACTTGTCGAGGTTGGTGAGCCAGTGGATGAAGGTGTTGAAGGGTGGGCTGGGGGTGGTCGACTTCTTCAGATATCTCTGTTCAACCAGATCCATCATCAAGCCGAGGGACCAACCATCGTAGATCGCATGGTGGGCAGTCCACACGAAGTACTTTTGATCCTCCTCTTGGATAATGGCGTATCTAGCGAGAGCGGTACCATAACTGACCGGGATTTCTCTGTCTTGGCGAAGATAAGCAGTCAAGTTGTCGCCATAGGTCCAGCGTATTTGACTGATAGCAGGGCTTAGGACAACCTGGTAAGAACCCAGGCGGCCAAGGTCAACCAGTCTGGTACGCAAGATATCCAATTCTTCGGCGACAGCCATCCAAGCAAGTTGGAATTCTTGAACGTTGATCGTGTTGGGCAGACGGTATACTGCTTGCAAAGTGTAGAGCCCATGGTCTCTGGCAGTGAGAGACATGAGGCCTTCCTGCAGCGGAGTGCAAGGGTACACATCCTGAAGAAGATTGCGTTGAATGCCCACCTTCGAAGCTGCAAGATCGACGAGGTCCTCCTCCAATTTCGGAAGCAGCGAGAAGGGCTCGACCTGAGTAGGGACAGATACATCAGTGGTGGTGACAACATTGGCCATCTCGCATAGCTTTTGGTGCTGGAAAATATCCCCAACGGTGATGGAAAGACCGGCCTTGCGAGCTGCAGATACTAGCTGCATGGCACCAATTGAGTCACCGCCGATCCGGAAAAAGCTGTCATCAGCACCGACAGACTCGGGGCTGATCTTGAGAACGGAGGCCCAGAGTTCTTGCAGGCGCTTTTCCATCGCCGTCTCAGGAGCCCGTTTCTCGCCCTGGACAAATGAGTACGTAGCGATCTGTTCAAGGGATAGATTGGCTCCCAGATTGCGAAGCGCCTTTCTGTCAATCTTCATGGAGGTGTTTCGGGGGATATTGACCATGTCAATGAAGACCGATGGAATCATGTATGCTGGGAGAGTCTCCGTGAGAGACTGCTCGAGATGGCGTACAATGTTCTTGAATTCAGTATCTGGCTCCTTCAAGAACGACGCTGGGTCATCCGAAGAGCCTTTGAGGGAAACCTTCTCAGTACCCTCAATCATGATGAAACCAGCCAGGATTTGTCTGCTGCCCTGGCTGAGAGGCTTGATCATCTCCACAGCAACCTGAGTATTCTCGGGAAGTCTGGCGCGAAGTTGATATTCGACTTCACCAATCTCAATTCTTTGGCCATGGAACTTAATCTGAGTATCCTTGCGTCCCACGAACTCGAGACGGCCGTCGGGGCAATGTCTCACCAAGTCACCGGTCTTGTAGACACGTTTGGCAGCCGGCCTGGTATCGTTGCGCAGCCATGCTGGAGTGTCAATATAGGCGGCCGCGGTCTTCTCTTCATCCTTGAGATAGCCCCTTGCCAGGTTAGGTCCCTGCACGACAAGCTCTCCGACGCATCCGATAGGAACCAGGCGGTCATGGTTATCGGGCTCGGTAACCCATAGATAGCAGGTGATACCCGCACCGATATCAGCACAAGAGCTCTCAGGGAACAGTTGTTGGTTGCTGGTCCAGATCGAGCACTCGGCAGGACCGTAACTGTTGATGAGACGGACCTTGTCGGCCCAGGTACTATGAAGATCGCGAGAAATCGCCTCTCCTCCTAGGGTCAGGGTCTTCAGGGTGGGGACGTCGGTAGGCTTGAGCAGGGAAGCGACCGAGGGAGTCAGGAAGGTCCAGTTTGCTTCCATGCGAGTAATCGCCCCAGGGATATCGTTCATTCTCTCGGCATCAGTGGGCACGCAAACACAACCACCGTGAGTCAAGGTGATGTAAGTCTCTGCGATGCTGACATCGAAAGTATAGGCGGCGTATTGGAAGGTGCGGGTATTCGGGCCGATTCCCACCACCGAAGCATTTGCGAGGAACATGGTACAAAGACCCATGTGGTCAAGAATAATGCCCTTGGGCAGACCTGTACTTCCCGAGGTGAAGGGCACGAATGCGGCATTTTCAGGCTGGGCTTCACCGAGCTCCGAGCTCGAGTGATCAGGCAAGCTTTGCATCAGTGCTTCGGTGACAGCAATGACATTTGAGACCTTGTCGGTCAGTCGCTGAACGAATTGGGGAGCAGCGAGAATTAATGTTGCTTCACAGCGGGAGATGACTTCCTGAAGTCGAGCCGGCGGGTGAGATGGATCCAGTGGCACACAAGCACCGCCGGCTTTCAGGATACTCAACATCGACACGATGGTCCAACAGGATTTGTTGAAGCAGACCGGAACCAGAATCTCTGGTCCCACTCCGCGAGCGCGAAGGAAGGCTGCGAAACGCGTAGTCAGATTGTCCAGCTCAGAGTAGGTGAAGTTGCCGTCTGTGGAGCAGATTGCTGCGTTGTCAGGGTACTTCAGTGCAGCGCGGTGGAACAATTCATGCACGGTGTTTCGAACAGGCTTGTAAGGAGTCGAGTTCCACCGTAGAAGTTGGTCTTTCATTGCACCGCTGCTGAAATCAATTTCCCGTAAAGATGCCTCAGGTGAGCGGGTCAAAATGTCGATGAAGTTCGAGAAAGACTGGGCGACAGCCTTTGCTTGCTGATCAGAAAGTGCCGAAGACCAATAGCTGAAGTTGATTTGTAATTCTTCGCCCACGACGCTGGCGTTAACAGCGATCTCATACTGTACATGAATTAGCATATCAAGCCAGAAAGGGCCGAGTGGATTTTGAACTTACCTCAGTGGAACCACCACCAGCAAGGTTTTCGAAGCTGATCGTGTCTTCTCCGGCGTCTGCAGCAGCAGAGGCAAACGAAAGAGTGGTGTTGAAGGCCGATCTTCCTTGAAGGTCAAGTGCATGGTGAATCTCTGCCAGAGAGCAGTGCTGGTGAGTCAGACTGTTCAAAACATCGTCGCGAGCTCCCTCGAGGATGTTGATCAGGTTGCGGTCCTCCGAAAGACCAACGCGGAGGACCATCATATTAATCATAGGGCCGACGATGCTTTCAACACCATCCAACGGGATGTCACGACCGTGGGAGAGATACCCAAAGCACACTTCTGCCGCACTCGTATAGTGGCGGAGCACAAGTGCCCAAGCGGTCTGCAGGATACTGGAAATAGTGAGGCTCTTTCTGGAGGAGAAAGATGCAATCCTGCGGAAACCCGGAACATTGAACTGCAGTGATTGCGGCTTTCTCAATCCCATTGCATCCTCATTGATGCTGGGGAAGTAGCATGGCTCCAATCCGTCGAGGTATGTCTTCCAGTATCCGATCGCATCGTTGTCCTTCTGACCCTGCAGGTAGGAGATGTAATCACGGTAAAGGGGAGCTGGGCTGGAGAGACGTCCATGGTAGGCCTGGGCGACTTCACGAAGAACGACGTCCATAGATCCTGCATCAAACAGGGTGTGGTGCATGCGGATTGCACAGCAGACTGTCCCACTGGCATCGGAGCAAATGGTCAGGCTGTGCCAGGGCTCCGTGGGCTTGAATTCGGGAGCAGCAAGCCCGTGCAAGAAGGCTTTGGCGTTGCCCTCGACACCCTGGATGACAATGGGCGCATTGCGAGCCTCGCGCAGAACGACCTGGTCGAATGCGCTACTCTCTTCGAGACCCTCGATGAAGATCGTGCGCAAGATTTGATGACGACGAACAACTTCTTTCCAGGCTTCCGCTAGCAGATGGGGATTCACTTGGTCCGCTGGGTTCCTTGGTTTGATTTCATAGATGTTGTCCACATTATAACTTCCTACTCCCTTGGTTTGGGCGAGGAGAAGGCCTTCCTGGAGAGGAGAGCATGGGTACACATCTTCCACGTTATTCAAGTCTTTGAGACCGATACTAGACAATCGCTGTTCCAGAATCGTCTCGATATCGCTGTCATCGAGGCATAGTAGCGGATATTTCTTCTGAGATGGTACAGTCAATGTCGAGGTAGACTTGACATGGTCGTTCAAAGAGCCCTCCTCATGCTTAGCTGCTATCGTAGTGGCGAGCTCTGAGATCGACCCAGTCAGGAGGATTTCCTTGATGCTCAGCTTCATTCCCGCGTCTCGCAGCCGGTTCATCACTTTCATGGCAGTGATAGAATCACCACCGAAGCTGATAAACGACCGATTGAGAACAATCTTTTCTGTCGGGATATCCAAGACCTTGGAGATCACGGCCTGGATTGCACCTTCCGTCTCGTTAGCAGGAATGGCGGATCCAGCTGTCGTCTCGAGCTCAAGGATCTGCTCAACAATCTCCTCATCCAGCTCATCGACCCACTTCTTCACCTGCTTAATATCGGTCTTGCCCGAGGTCTGTCTCGGCATCTGCTCGACCGCCACGAAGACAGTGGGCACCATGTACGATGGCAGGTTCTCTCTGAGAGCTTGCCGAATGCTCGAGATCTGCAAGTTGGAGTATTGCTTCCATTCTTCAGATAGCGGCCGCAGAGGCTCGGGTTGGGCGATTTGCTCTTCTGTGCCTTCAAGAGTGAGGACAGCAACAAGGCGGTTCTTCAGTGGACCCTGGTTAGGCAGCAGAACTGAAGACTGTCTCACAGCTGGGTGCGACCACATCTTGTGGTTAATTTCTCCCAGCTCAATGCGTTGTCCGTGAAGCTTCACCTGGGCGTCCTTTCTTCCCACGATCATCAAGCTACCATTCTCCGCATAGTAGACCAAGTCACCAGTCTTGTACAGACGACCTGTTTCGCCAAATCGCTGCTGTAGCCAAGTGGGATTTTCAATGTAGACCTCCTCGGTCTGCTTGGGATTCTTGTAATATCCGCGGCCCACAATAGGGCCCTGAATGAGCAACTCGCCAACAGATCCAATTGGCGCGAGGCGGTTGTGATCATCTGGGAGAGTGATCCAGCTTTGACAGCCAAGAGGCACACCGATATTGGCTGGAGAACTGCCAGGGACAAGGTCGACCGTTACGCAAATCATGGAAGTCTCAGTAGGACCATAGACACCCTTGAGAGTGACCTTGTCACTCCAAACTCGCACAACATCATGACCTACTGCCTCACCTCCCGTTACGACATGCTTGACTGAAGGTACGTCTTCAGGCTGAATCATTCGAAGCACCGTGGGAGTAAGCATGACAGAGTTCACCCGCAAGTGGTTGATGGCGTTGACGATGTCTCCCTGCTTTTCCTCTTCGGTGGGGAAGCAGACACAACCGCCCGCGCAGAGAGTGGTGAAGATTTCCATCAGCGAGGCATCGAAGGTCAAGGCGCTGAATTGAAGCACCCGTGTCTCATTATTGTAGCCAAACACTTGGCCTTGATAAATGAACGACGAACAAGCGGAAGCATGTTCAATCATCACGCCCTTGGGCTTACCAGTACTCCCGGATGTGAAAATCACATACATGAGGTCGCGAGGGCTTCCCTTGGCCTCGAAATTGCCTGCAGGACGGCTGATCGCTTGAAGGGCTTCGGCGCCTATCTCAACGACATTCAGGGTGCCGAAGAGGCTAGAATGACGACCGAAGATATCGGTTGTTTCCGCATCAACAACGATTAGCTCCGACTCCACATCTTCGAGAATGACTTGCATACGGCTGGGCGGGGAAGAAGGATCCAAGCAGACAAAGGCTGCGCCAGTCTTGATCACTCCGAGCATGGCGACCACGACCCAGACTGATTTCTTCAAGCAAATGGGTACAATCTGGCCGGGGGCAATGCCACGAGTGGACAAATGGTGAGCAAACAAAGTAGATAAGCTTTCGAGTTCTCCGAATGTCAAAGTGGTGCCATCGGATTGTGCAACGGCCAATTGCGCGGGATGAAGCTGAGCTTGCTCAGATACAAGGTGTTGCGCGCATTTGGAGACTTGCGGATAAGGTCTGGCATTCCACTGGCGAACTTGCTTCTCATCGTCTTGACTGAAGGCCTCGACGTCACCGACCTTCAAGTCACCTTCGTTCTTGCACAATTGGTCGACAACCTGGTGGAATTGCTTCGCAAGCCGTTGCACTTGGTATGCCTGGATAACCTTGCTGTCGAATTCAAAGTTCAGTGCTGCGTGACCATCCTCGCTTAGAATGCACTCCACGTTCAGAGCATATGTATGCAACCCCTTGGTGGAAAGCTCAACTCGCTCCATACCGAGCGCAGTTCCACCAACCATCGCTGGTTGGACAACGAACAGGTTCTGGAAATCGCAAGCGGCCTTGCAGGCGGAGTTTATCTTGCTGATATTCTGGAGACCCAAGTGCTCAAATGGAATTGCTTCTGTCGTCTGATTCTGTACTCGAGCTAGGAAATCCTCGACTGACATAGATGGATCAATCGTGATGGGCATTGGCACTGTGGCAATAGTAGGGCCCATAAGTTCAGTGGCTTGAGAAAGATTGACATTCCGGCCACTGCGAGTTGATCCGTAAGTGACCTTGGAAGAATTGGTCAACAAGGCGATCGTCAGACCCCAGGCAGCTCCGAGCAGGGTCGAAGGCGTCACACTCAATTTGCTGCTGAGGACAATGTTCTGGAGGTTGTACACGAAAGCCTGATCCACATCCGGCTCATAAAGGGAGCTGGGAAGTTGAGGGAAAACAGTTGGCGAAGCATCGTCAAGCTGAGATTTCCAGAACGCAATCGCGTCGGCACTGTCCTGCTGCTGCAGGAACTGAATGTACTCAGCAAATAGCGGGCGAGAGATTGAAGCAGATTCATCCTCGTATCGCTTTTCGAGTTCTTCCAGCATCAAAGCGAAGCTCCAACCGTCATAGAGAGAGTGGTGAGCGGTCCAGACGAAGTATCCGTCCGATGTCAAACCATAACGACAGAGTGGTGTTCCGTATGTCATAGGTTGCTTCTTGTCTTGCTCAAGATATTGCGTCAGGGTCGAAGCATTCCACCACTGAACAGCCCTCTTCAGCACAACTTGGCATGTACCGTGAGTTTCAGTGGAGACGATGACAGTACGGAGGATAGGGTTTGACTCAACAACCTGGTCCCAGGCTTTGCGGAAACGGTCCAGGTCGAGGTGTAAAGGTAGCTTGAATGGAGCCTGGAGAACGTATGCGTTGGCTTGGCTGGTAGTCAACGCAAGAAGACCTTCTTGCAGGGACGTGGAAGGATAGACGTCCTCGACCAGGTCAAACTCCTCACTTGAGAGATGCTTCTGTACAATCGAGCGAGCATTCTCAAGGCCTCCGACAAGGCTGAATGGTCCGTCGTACTTTGACACGGCAGAAACACCTTCAGCTGCGACGGCAATCTGAGCCATGCTGCTGAGTTTGGGGTTGTTGAATATGTCGGCAACAGACAGAGACAGACCTTCACGACGAGCAGCGGTAGCCAGCTTCATGGCTTCAATCGAATCACCACCAACACGGAAAAAGTTGTCATTGGCACCGAAGTTAGACTCTGTGAAGAGGGCACTCCAAAGCTCTGCAATCTTCTTCTCCATGGGTGTCTCCAAAGCCTTCTTGCTGCCGCTAGCGAGCGAATACTGCTGAAGCTCGGTCTTGGGTAAACCGTTGCAGAGCTGCTTCAACACTTTCCGGTCAGTCTTACCAGAGGCAGACTTTGGCATCGTGGCCAATGGGAACCAGAGATGGGGCACCATGTAAGGTGGCAGAATCTGGGCAAGCACTGCTTCAATCTCGAACATCGTTTCCCGGACGTCGTCCGTCATGGGCCGGAGGAAGCCGTCGACCTGGAACTCATCGGTGGTCTCGAATTCGAGGAAGGCAGAGAGAAGTTGTCGGCCATTGCCATGCTCCGGCTTGAGCGCATCGACTGCCACCTGAAGTACCTGCGGAAACTCGGTTTTGATATGGTGTTCCACCTCTCCTAGTTCAATGCGCTGTCCGTTGAGTTTGACCTGGGTATCTTTGCGGCCGAGAATAGTCAGAGTGCCATCGGAGTTGTATCTACCCAAGTCACCCGTTTTGTACAGCGTCTGCTCACCCGCGTGATACTCGGACATCCAGCTGGGTGCTGAGATGTAGCTTGCCGCAGTCCTCGCTGGGTCGTTCAGATAGCCTCGGCCAACAATGTGACCATGTACCACAATTTCACCAATGGCCCCGATCGGAACGAGTTTGTCATGGTTATCAGCGTCAACAATCCACAGTACTGAACCAACTGGGTATCCAATAACCTCAGGCTTGAATCCAGTCTCACTGAGAGGGTTGTAGCAACAATACACGCAGCATTCGGCAGGCCCATATCCTCCAATGAGGTTGACATGATCCTTCCATGTGTTAATGCTGTCCTGGGGAATTGGTTCACCACCAAGCATGAGAGTAGTCAGGGAGGGAACATCCTGGGGTCCAAACAAACGAGCTATAGTAGGAGTCATGAACATGTTGTTGACTTTCATGTCCCTCATGGATTGTACCATACTGCTCATGCGGTCCTCTTCGGAGGGAATGCAGACACAGCCACCATGGTACAAGGTTGTGAATGCTTCGAGGATAATGGCATCGAATGTGTAGGATGAGAACTGGAAGATGCGAGAATCATGTCCGTAGTTCATCACCTTTCCATGGTGCTCAATAGACGAACAGGCAGCCTTGTGGTGGACGACAGCACCCTTAGGCTTTCCTGTACTGCCGGATGTGAACTGAACGTACATGATGTTCTCCGGGGTGACCGTCGTCTGGGGGAGATCATCGCCTCCCTGAGGAAGCTGATCCAACATCTTTGGTGACACAACAATCAAGTCTGCGATGAGCGGTTCACAGCGCTCTTGCGTCTGGGGTGAAACAATCAGGAACCTAGCGTTGGTGTCCTCAAGAAGACCCTTGAGACGATCATCAGGATGCTTTGGATCAAGGAGAACAAATCCCCCACCAGCCTTGAGAACTGCGACGAGAGCCACAATCGTAAAAAGAGACTTTTCAAAGCACAGGGGAATGCAATCATCAGGCGAGATTCCCTTCTCCATCAAAAGGCGGGCAAGGCGCGTTGATACCTTGTCGAGCTGCTCATATGTGTATGTTGCCTCCCATGACTCCAGAGCCAGAGCATTGGGGCGCTCTACAGCATTTTGGTGAATGACTTCATGCATGCAGCGGTCGATTGCAGAAGGAAGTTGCTTGTTCCAGTCCCTCAAAGATGCTTTGTCCAAGGGGCTAAGCAGATTCACGTCGGCCAGAACAGTGTCGGGGTTGGAGAGAAGCGACATAATGGCGGCACTATAAGTGTTGGCAATGTGGATAGCCTGACCGCTCGACAGCTTCGAGGTCCAGTAAGTCAGATCAATCCTTAATCCTTCCTCTCTAGTGGCGACGTTGACGGTGATGTTGAACTGGACACAGGGTTAGCGATCTATTCATCCCCCCGTGTGGTCCCTAGACTTACCTCGGTCGGATCATAGTCATAAACTGTTTGAAGATTCAGATCCATGGATTCCTCCGGCGAATACCTCTGGAAAGACATAGCAGTATTGAACAATCCTTGCGCGGTGACGCCCAAGGCATGCTGCATCTCAGCCAAAGAGACGTATTGGTGGGCCATTCCTTTCAAGAACCCATCCTGCATGTTTTGGAGGGCGAGCAACGCCGGCGCATTAGGATCGAAATCCAAGCGACAGACAAGCATGTTGATGAAGGGACCCACGGCGTCCTCAATGCCATCAAGAGGAGCATCACGACCGGAAGTCAAATAGCCGTAACAGACACTTTCTGTTCCAATGAAAGTTCGGAGCACTAGAGCCCAGGCAGTCTGAACAACATTCGCAACGGTGATTCCATAGCGCTCAGAGAAGGCACTGAGAGTCTCCTTCGTCAAGCCTGGCAAATCCACATCAATGGACTCCAGCGCCTGAACCTGCTCCCGACCGTCATTGAGAATTGGAAATTGGCATGGCTGAACATCGTGGAGGTAATCGTTCCAAAACTCAAGCGATTCTGCCTGCTTGGCCTGCTGAAGGAACGTTACGTAGTCGACATAGGAAAGGGGGGCAGCGCTGCTCAACTGAGCACTGTAGGCGCGCCTCAAGTCACGCTCAATGATAGCCATGGATGTACCATCAATCAAGACGTGGTTGATCTCAAGTTTGAAAAAGACCTGATCATCGTCGGAACGGCAGATAGCCACTTGATGGGGCGCCTTTCCTTCAGAGATCCCCACAGGTGGCAATGCGCGTAAAGCCTGAACGGGGTCGCTGTCACGAAGCTCCACCACCTGTGCCTTCATATTCTTCAGCACGAGCTGGTCATAAGGTCTGTCGGATGCAGCACTTCTGACGAAAATAGTTCTCAGCATGGGGTGGCGATCGATGACCTGTTGCCAAGCAGCAAGCAATTTGGCACTATCAACTCCTTCGCGGGCAGTGGCTTTCTTGATCGTGAAGAATTCATAGTCACCCACGGATTTCAACTGACTCATCAACAAGCCGAGCTGCATAGGCGAGCAAGGAGAAAGGCTCTCGATCTCGTCGATTGTCTGTACTCCAACTTCCGGCAGGATAGAAGCTGCCAGATTCTCCAAGCCCTTATAAGACATAGAAAGAAGAGGGAAGTCGCTGAGGGTGAGGATTTCTGACTGCGCCATGAGTTCATCAATACCACCTTCGAGCACCTGCCGATAATGATTGATCCAAGAGCTGATGGTCGCTCTACTGCCCATCTTTTTGTTGTACTCAAAGATAAACTCCATCTGTCCGTTGGAGACACCTGCGGAGATCTCGAAAAGAGAGTAGCGCTGCATCGTCGGGCTAATCTCGGCGCAATCTGTTCCGGTGATGGTGGATTCCTGGAAAAGCGCATCGGCTTTCTGAAGTTGCTGGTAGAGGCCAAGGTAGTTGAACACAATCTCCTTATCCTCCATCTCATCGGTCAGAGAGCGGGCAGTGAAGTAACGCCAACCGTTGTCGGCGACCTTGCGGCGGTTGTCCTTAAGTCTCTTGAGAGCATCGAGCCACTTGTCCTCAGATGCCTCGTAGCTGATGGGGTACATAGTAGTGAACCATCCCACAGTGCGTGAGACGTCTATAGCCGACGTCCAAGGCTCACGGCCATGTCCTTCCAGATAGACGGCAGGCGCAGTTCGGTCGGAAAATGCGTGGCGGAATGAATGGAGCAAAGCAGCAACCATGATTTCCGTTGGCTCGGTGCGCAGAGGTAAATTGCAGTCTCCAAGAAGCAGCGATGTCCGCTTAGCATCGATGGTGAAGGATTCGGTGGTGATATCTCCCCAAGTGTTAGATGCTCCCTGCATTCCCCAATAGTCCAGATCTGCAACAGGGGCTTGTAGGTCCCAAGTAGCCCGGTCTGGAAAGTTCTGAGAAACATATTCATCCTGCAGTTTTGTCCAGCTCTGGAACGAAATTGTAGGCTCCGAGCTGACTTTGCCCGTCTTGATCATGTCCTCAAGATCTTGGAAGATGATTCGCCAGGAAACCAAGTCGATAACCAAGTGATGGGCTGCCAAGAAGATGTAGCTCGCTTCAGGAGTAGTACATACTTGTGTTGTCAGGACAGGCCCTTGGCTGATATCGAAAAGAGTCTCAGCCTCGCGGAACTTGGCGATCATTTCTTCTCGACTACAGGACTGTCTAGGGAGTAACACAAAGGAGCCCGAGACATCGTTGGTTATCTTTTGCATCCAGGATCCATCAACTTGTTGGAATCGGGCTCGGAGCATGGAGTGTCGTAGCACAATAGTTTCAAGTGCCTTCTGAAGCTCCTCTTCGGATATATCCTGGCCCAGCTTCAACACAAAGCTCTGGTTGAAGTGGTTTTGACCTTGAGGCTGCATCTGGAAGAAGAGCTTTTGAATGGGAGCCAGCTTGAACCATTCGTCAAGGACTTCAGCTTCGAAAGCCGAATTATCTGCGGTGGATTGTTCAATGTACTGTGCCCGACCGGCAAGAGCAGCCACTGTACGAAGTTTGAGAACATCCTGGACAGTAACCCGAACATTCTGAGATCGAAGTCGAGACATAACTTGCATGGCCGAAATTGAATCACCACCAACACTAAGGAAGGAAGTATTGAGGCCCACCGATTCGACTGGGATGTTAAGTGTATCACTGAATGCAGCCTGCACCATTCTCTCCATATCCGAGGTAGGCTGGGCGGTTGCCTCAGCAGTTGCCATGGCTGCAATGGACTGGTAGGTAGATTCATCCACATCCTCGAGCCATCCTTTCAGCAGCTTGCGGTCGATCTTGCCAGACAGGTTAAGCGGAATCTTTTTCAAGGGAATCCACACAGCCGGCACCATGTACGGAGGTAGCTTCTCTGCAAGTCGGTTCTCAATAATGGTAGTCATTTCGGCTGCAGCGGTCTTGTCGCTTCCCTCAACTAAGGTAATATCGCCATTCGGGGAGCCACCACTGCGCTGCGCAATTTCCTGTAAGGACAGAATACAGACCAACCTGCTCTTGTAGGGGCCAGCAGCTGGAACAGAGACCATAGCATGTTGGATCTCCGGGCTCTCGGACAGATGGACCTCAATCTCCGCTAATTCCACACGCTGTCCTCGAACCTTGGCTTGAGTATCCTTTCGAGCAACGAAGCTCAGAGACCCGTCAGAATTGAACCTGGCAAGGTCACCGGTCTTGTAGATACGACGATACTCCTTGGGGAATGTCTGAGGCAACCATGCTGGATCTTGAATGAATGCAGACTGGGTCTTCTGAGGCTCGTTCAGGTAACCGCGGGCAACTGTTGCTCCTTGGACGACCAGTTCACCAACACACCCGACGGGCGTCAACTTATCGTGATTAACGGGATCAACCAACCAGATAAGAGCGCCAATTGCGTGTCCGAGAACAGCCGGGTTGCTTTGTTGGGTGGCAGGAGGGTTGGCCGAGCAGTAAACGGAGCACTCCGCCGGTCCGTAGCAAAGAATCAGGTTCAGGTTGTCCGCCCAAGTCCTGACATTCTCTCTGGTCGGGGCTTCACCACCGAGAGTGAGCGTTCGAAGGGTCGGGACCTGCTCGGGACGAAGCAAGTTGGCCACGGTTGGGGTCAAAAAGGCATAGTTGGCTTTCATGCGGTTTATGGCCCCGGCAACGTTGTTCATGCGCTCCAGGTCCGAAGGAATACAGATACAAGCACCCTTCATCAATGAGGTGAAGATATCTCCCACACTGACGTCGAAGGTGTGAGCAGCAAACTGGAATACCCGAGACTCGGCATTAATGCCGAATGCCTTACTGTGAGCGGCAGCGCTGGAGGCAAACATGCCGTGCTCGATGATGATACCCTTTGGCTTTCCAGTACTGCCGGAGGTAAATAGCACGAAAACTGGGTTTTTGCGGTCAGCGCGCGGTTGTAAGCTATCAGAAGCCAAATCATTTGCCTGGAACCATTCCGGACTCAGCGCCACGACCTCGCTGACAAGACCATTGAACATATGACTGTGCTCTGGTGTGGTCACCACAAGGTCGGCTCCAGCGTCAGCAATGATACCCTTGAGTCGATCAACGGGGTGCCCAGGATCCAAGGCGACGCAAGCGCCTCCGGCCTTGATAATGGCTAACATGGCAATGACAGTCCAAGCCGATTTACTGAAGCAGTGAGGAACAAGAGTCTCCGGCCCAACACCAAGGCTTACAAGGTGACGAGCGAAGCGATTCGACAGCTGCTCCACTTCAGCATAGGTGAAATCTCCGTCCCAGGAGCAGATGGCAGGAGCATCGGGAGTAGCCAAAACTTGACCACTAATGATGTCATGAACGCATCGTTCCTCCATGACCGGAAGCTTATGATTCCAGCTCATGATCTGAGTGTAGTCGTCCTGACTAACCATACTCATATCACCGAGCTTTACAGTGGGGCTTGATCGGAGCTCTCCCACGATATGCTCGAGCTGGGAGCAGATCCGCTCGACCTGCCACGAGGACAGAACACGGTCATCGAAGTCAACCTGAATGCCAACTTTGTCTCCACGAAGCAAGCACTGAACGACCAGAGCATAGGTGTAGATGCCCACGTCGGGTGACTGGACTTTCTTGATGCCCAGGGAGCTGTTGTTGCTATCGTCCTCCTCGGGTTGAACAACAAGCAGGTTCTGGAAAGCGCATGCAAGACGGCATTCGCGATTGATCTTGGCAATATTCTGCAATCCAGCGTGCTCAAAGGGCATCATCTCGATGGTCTGAGTTTGAACCTTGTTGAGGAGGTCAGCCACTGTTTCGTCACGGTCAATTTGGACCCGGACGGGGACAGTGGTAATCGTTGGCGCAGCCATCTCGGAGACGCTGGACACGTCGACGTTTCTACCTGCAACAGTCACACCGACTATAACGTCGTCACCAGCATCCGAATATTGGCACATAAGGATGGACCAAGCGGATCGGATTAAAGTCGAAGCTGTGACGCCCGACGAGCTGCTACCCTTGAGGGCGAACTCATGGTGGTGAATATTGTTCACGCGTGGTTGATATGTCTGAGACGGTAACTGCGGGAACTTCGGAGGATTCGACGAGGACAGATAGGACTTCCAAAAATCGTTCGTGGCGCCCGCATTCGTGTTCTGAAGATGGGCGATGAAGCGGTTGAAGGGCGCCACATGCGGTTGAGCCAATCCATTGTTTTTGTACGCCTCCTCCACCCGCTTCCAGAGGAGAGGCAAGGACCAACCATCATAAAGGGCGTGGTGAGCTGTCCAGACAAACGTCGCGCCCTTGATGCCTGGGATGAGGGCGTACCTAGCGAGAGAATCACCATATTGCATGGTTTGTTGTGCATCTGCTGCCAAGTACTTCTCAACATTCGTCGGGTATTTCCAGTCAATAGAAGACTTGGTCACAACCTGGTATGTGCCAGCAGCAGTTTCGACAGGAACAATGGTTGTTCGAAGGATCTCTGTGGTCTTGACGACGGATTCCCATGCGGTACGGAACCTCGCCAGATCTATCTCAGCCGGCAGCTTGTAGACATTCTGGTAAATGTAGGTTCCCGGCTCCGCTTGGGTGATAGCCATGAGACCTTCTTGCAAAGCAGTTGCAGGGTATGCATCCTCGATGTCCGACCTCTCCAGGCCCCATTTCGAACTGAGCTCGTCCATGAAGATGGAGATATCAGCCACATCAACGAGAGAAAATGGCTTGATAGATTCACTCTCGCTCTCCAACAGTTCTTCGGCAACCTTGGACATCCCTTCCAAAGTAGGATGACGAAAGATCTTCGACACGGTCAGGCTCAATCCTGACGACCGAGCCACAGCAGACAGTTTCATGGCTGCGATCGAATCACCTCCGAGCTGAAAAAAGCTGTCATCCAGACCGATAGTCTCGTATGAAATCTTCAAGACTTCCACCCAGAGGTTTGCAATTGTCTTCTCACCCGCTGTGGTAGGCTCGCGCTTTACGCTATTTGCACTTGCAAGGGAAAATGAGATAAGCGTCTCGGTGGAGAAGTCCGCAGCCAGATCTCGCAAGCTTCGCCGATCGAGCTTACCATTAAGCGTGGTTGGCATTTGGGCCATGGGGACGAACAACGATGGAGTCATGTACGAGGGGAGGTGAAGAGCCAGGTCCTCCTTGAGCTGACAAAGTTGCTTTCGCCGCCCTTCAGACATACGTCCTAGAAGCGAGTTCTCGGGTTGAGCCTCATCCTCAAAGTGGATGAAAGCTGCGAGCGTTGGCTGTTCGTTCTGAACCTTAGGCTTGATCACTTCAGCCACTGCCGCTTGCCAACCAGAGCAGAGGTTCTTGAGATGAAATTCGATCTCGCCGAGTTCGATTCGCTGACCATTGATCTTGACCTGTGTATCTCTGCGACCAACAATATTGAAGGTTCCGTCTTGACTGAGATAGCCCAGATCGGCAGAGCGGTAGAAGCGGCGGGGAGGGTTGGTATCTGGCACCCAGCTTGGGTTCTCGATGAAGGCCGCACTTGTCTTTTCTTCATCTCTAAGGTAGCCACGAGCCAGACCGGGTCCTTCTATCAGCACCTCGCCGATAGCTCCTACAGGGCATAGTTGATTGGGATCCATCGGATCTGTAATCCACTGCAGGGCTCCAAGGGCCAGACCAATATTGGAAGCAGGTGTGTTTGGCTTCAAGGTGGAACGACCTGCGCAAAGGATAGTAGTTTCCGCCGGTCCGTACATGTTGTTCAGTTGGACGTGATCTGCCCAGGCTGCGATGATTTCTTGTTTCTGCGACTCACCTGCCGTCGAGACGGTCTTGAGGCAGGGGACGTTGGTAGGAGTAAGCATGTTCTGAACGGTGGGGGTCAGAAGTGCCCAATTCACGTCCAACCGGCGGATGAAGCCTTCGAGGTCGTCCATTCGTTCCTCCTCCGAAGGCACACAGACACATCCACCGTGGATGAGAGTGTTGAAGATCTCTCCCACACTCAAGTCGAAAGTGTAGGTCGCGAACTGAAGAGCTCTGGTGGAGCTGTCGAGACGCATGATCACAGCGTGGTGGATCATACTTGACATCAAGGCACGATGCTCCACCACAATACCCTTGGGCTCTCCCGTACTACCTGACGTGAAGACGACAACAGCCGGGCATTCCGGTTGAGCAAAACGGACTAGGACCTTTGCGCGACGCTCCGCGGCAAGTTCGTCGATAAAGTCTGGTGTGACGGCGACCGAATGCTTCACCAGACCAGAGAAGGTGCTGACATAGGCAGGGCCTGCTAAGACAACCTGAGCTTCAATCTTGTTGAGGATGACTTTTTGACGGTGGACAGGGTGCTGGGGGTTGAGAGCGACGTAGGCACCACCAGCTTTGAACACGGCCAGCATGGCCACAATCGGCAGAGTCGCCTTGTCAAAGCAGAGTGCTACATATGAATCGGGACCCACGCCCAGTCCCTGGAGGTATGCGGCCAGATGGTCGGCCTGATTATTTAATTGCTGGTAGGTCAAATCCCCACCGAAGCCTGCAGCTGCCGGGGCGTGAGGCTGCTCCAGCGCCTTGCGCTCAATCCACGTGTGAACACATTCATTGATAGTCACTGGCATGTCAGCGTTCCATTGGAAGACTTGCTCCCGGTCCTTGTCACTGCACAGGTCGACCTGCGAGACGGGGGTTGCGCCCTGGTTAGTGACCGCCTGCAGAGCCTTCTCCAGAGATCCTGCAATGCTTTGGACTTGGCTCGAGGACAGGGCGGAAGCATTGTATTCAAGGACGATGTCGATTGAATCCGCGTTCACTTGTACAACAGCTTCGATAACACGCTACAAATTATTAGCTTTCGCCATATCGCACGGATTGTCACACAAACGGTCAAGCTACTTACCTTATCCCGTGCCGCGGACAGAGGCTCACTGGGCTCGCCGAGCTGGTTCACTCTTACTCCAGTGTCAGGAACCACGTTCGACAGATTTTCGATCTCCTTCAGCGGCATGTCCTGGTGCGGCAACGAGGTCTCATGCCACTGGCTAAGCTGACTCAACAGCTCGTGCAGCGTGGTGGATCCTCGCGTCCAGCTTGCACAGCAAACGCCATTCTTCACGGATTTGCCATCTTTCACCACGCTCACGAACGTGACAGCATCTGTGCCAAGGAACCGAGCCAAGACCGCTGCCCAAGCGGTCTGCAGGATCACCAGCAGTGAGGTTCGCTGCGACTGACAAAGCGCATTCAGAGTCTGCAGCTTGATTCCGGCGTTGACCGCACAACTGGTCCACTGTGCCTCGCCCTCGTACGACTGAACGAGATGGGAGAGACGACTGATCTCCATACTTGCCAGGCTATTCTTCCAGAATTGCGCAGAGTGATCTGCATTCGTGTTGCTGGATGCCATTGTGTTTGTAGTGTAATATTATCGGCGTAGTTAGGGAAATAAATGTAGGGTATCGTGTAAAGAAATCTATAGAGTCTATGTGAGCTTTTCAAAGAGGGGATTTTACCTTTGGGTTGTCTATGGGTACAATGGCCGCAACAGCAAGAACCGTGATCGGTTGGATGTCCGAAAGAAACAAATTGGAGTCCAAACAGAGTGAGGATAAAGGAGTAGACGACAATAGTTGAGTCTCTCAGAAATAGTGGTAGAGGAGGAGGAGAGGAGTGAAGTGAGGTAGTCAAGAACGAAGATCGGACACTCCAGTACGAGCTCGCGTAGAAGTCTCAGTCCTCTAACCTTCTAAGCTCACTTCAATGTGCAAGGAATCGCAATAGACTTAAGAAAATTATCGCAGAGAAGGCGTTTTGCCTCCAAATTGATCAACGATCAACAATCAACAGCCTCACGAGGGACTCCACTCCACATCTCCACATGGTTATGGGGGCGGTTTGACAGTCGGGGATTGTCAAGCACGCAGAAAGAGAGCATCTTGCGCTAATGCAGACTGTGGAGAAGGCATGTCAACCAGGCATGTGGTGTGATCAGCAACGTGGTAGGTGCATATGGGGGGGATGGATGGAAGTTGACCAAGCGATGAACTGAACAAGTCAAGTTGGAAGGATGAAGGATGGAAGTGGAGTGGAGAATGGCTGTATGGATGGGTATTTTTTAATTACCAAATCAGATACGGATACAGTACCAAATTGAATACCAGGTGGATACGGTACAATACTGAATACACCCAATACATACACCACATACACACATACGATCAAATCCTGAAGGATTTCGGAGTCTGTCCGCGGTTTCCGAGCTTACCGGCCGCATAAAGTGGCTTCTTCCATGAAGATTATTGCAGATTCTTTTGAAGATTATCCTCCGAGCAGGATCAGGCCAGCCTTAGCTGCAGCATGTTTTCCCTGTTTTAGCCTATTCTACGAACCATGCGGCTGCGACCTCGTCCTCCACTGGGATCTCCTCTCACTTCCTCACCGCAGGACCAATGGCCAAGCCGATCGGGTCATCCTGGGCGAAGTGTGTTTCACAATTTCTATACGAACGAAGCTCGCAGAGGCGAAGCATTCCTCACGCCATGGGATGGGGGCCAAATATTCCCCTGGAAGCAAGGACGGATTGTTACGCAGGATTCGGTGGCGCAAGGCGTCCTATATGCTATGTGCTGAGGATACGAGGTTGCCAGAGCTATCCTACGTTGAGTACCTCCTGTGAGAATGGCTAAGTCTTGTCGAAGTGACGAGAATTGTTCACAGAATGATGGCAGATGCCACGCGAAGCGCGACTGTGAGGCATAATAAAACCGGGGCGAGCCATCATCATTGGCGAGGAGCATCACTGACCTGCAACATCACATCCACTTCCTTCCCACTTCAATCGAGTCATTAGTCTCAGTATGGCGACAATCAGCTGTGCCCGTCGTTCGGTTCTGGGTGGCCTCCGGCTCTCTCAAGCCAGATTTGCTTCTTCTGCTTCTGCTGCGTCTGTCTCTTCTGCTTCTTCGTCTTCGCCTGCTGGTGCAGCTGCTCCGGAACCAAGGGAATGGCTTGTGCTGTTTCCTGACATGCCGAACGTGGTAAGTGACCGTGATGATCATTCTTGATCCTTGTCCACGTGGGATTGCCCGTCTCCATTCTCGGGGTTAGGGTGTGATATACCTTCGAGATGCTGTCGCGGTGTATCCACCTACTCAAGTTCAAGCAACTGATCGGCATGGCTAGCTGGATCGTCGTCTCGAAATCCGACCCCGTCATTCCCCCAATTTTGTTCGCCTTCACAAGGAACAGTGGGTTACCTGGGCCGGTAAGCCTTCCATCCCTCTCTTGCTCATGAACTGTCCTATCCTTCTGGTTGTCATTCTAAGACGAGGTGTGCAGGGCCCGTCTTCGAGAAACACACCTTCCCCGGCAACCCTCGTCGACCCTTCAAGGGTTCAGTGATGGTAATCAACGACGTTGGGAAGGAGCAGATTTGGGAACGCCTGAAGAGCGATCCCTACATCCAGGAGAAGATCTGGGATCTCGAGAATGCCCGGGTGATTCCATTTGTCACCAACATGAGACGAACTCCCCAGAAGTGAACATTAGTGAAGAGATATCAAATAAAGTATCGTTAATTCTCTCGTTCTATGTCGTAAATAGTAGCATAATATAAGATCGAAAGTCATATGTTACATTTCCTAGAGCACAGCGAGACAGCCTGCCTTTATAGCCAGCAGCACTATGCATCTTGAACGCGGCCGGAGAAAACGAAAACATGGCTGCCTGGTGTTCCTGCATCCACTGCATTTCACATCTCGGACAAACTGGGTCTGCCTGGCAATCTGACGGACAGCATAACCAGAGCAATCCCTGCGCAGAGGCAGGCAGACACAAAGTACGGCAGACCGACCCACGCATCTCCGAGACGAAGCCCGACCTGAAACATGAATGAGAGCAGTGGGCCGGCGATCACCCCTCCAGCGGCCAAGATGATCGCTACGGTGCTGTAGAGACTGCCGAGGTTTGCTGGGTTTGACGCCTTCCAGACCGAAGCTAGGAGACTCATAACGGCCGGCTGAAAACCGGCACCCAGTGTGTAAATAATCAATCCTGATATTATGTTAGTGGATTGTTCGAAGCAAACTGTGCCGCCACTAGGACATGCAAGGAGACTCACCAAGGATTGCTGGGGCCACAGTAGGAGAGAGCGAAAGGATGAGGAACCCTAAGACAATGAACCCTAGACTAACGCGGGCTACCCAGAGATCACGCTGTTGAGGATCGCGCAGACTGGGCCATGACAGAAACAAGAGCAGGGGCCCAAGAATGAGAAGCAGCCCAAACTCGACCGCCGCCCGCAAGGACAGGAGCATAGCCGACTGTGGAGGTTCGCATCGGCGTCAGTGTTCGGTCCTCACAAGGTTCACCGTGAAGAGAAATCATACCTTGGCAATAGACCAGCCATATCGTTTGGAAACGTACTGGAGCAGGAAATCCACTGACTCCGCACTGATTGTCAGGACGAGCAGACCGAATACCAGTCCCGCGACATTCCGATCTGACACGATGCTGCGGAAATTCTTCGCCAAGCGACCGCGCAGCGTCTGCTCTTCCTCTTCACATTCGTGGGCCGACTCAGCCGGCGGCAACAGAGCTCTAGCAAAGCTTAGCGTTTCTGGAAGCGCCATCAGAAGAATTGTGCCAAGCGCCTGGATGCTGAGGCCTAAGAAGCAGGGGATCCAGACGTTGTGGGCCATGAGAATGGACGACAGGGGATTGGCTAAAATGTCGGAGATCAATACCGCAGCCTGCAATTGGAAGTAAATGGTGGATCTCTTGTCATCTGGCACCACATCGGCGATGGTGGCCTCCAAGACAGCGGTTGCTACCGCTGGACCGCCCCCTAGGCACTGAAAGAGAGATGAGATCCACGTTAGCTCCAGGGGTAACTGCAGCCAGCACACAAGCAAGGTCCAAGCAGTTGATAGAGTCAGGCCCAGGAAGCACAGCAAAAGAACTGGTCTGCGGCCCTTGGTATCGGACAAGGCTCCATACGGGATTGCCAGAAAAATGGCTGCGGTGGGTTAGTAAAATCTGCAACGGCGCATTCATTGCTGAACTATGATAGACATGACATACCCGGAAGACTGTCAAACACCGTCTGCCAGCCGATCAAGCGTGCGACCGCGGACTGAATCTCTTTCGTCTTACATTGTGATTCGGGGATATCTCGAATCAGCCCTTGAAGGTCATGGGTCCGGTAGTATTCCTGGCAGAGAATCGACTCGAACAATCGAATCTTCGGGGCAAGCACGACCGTGAGACCAATATCCAGAATCAGAGTCGCCGATGCGCACAACAAGATGACCTGCAGGATTTGTTTTCCTGATGGCGTCGGGGATGAGACCGCAGCAGGCGGACTTGGGATCAGGGGGGAGTCCTCGTCTTCTGTGCTGTCATGATCGCGGCCTCGCTCGCTGCGATGCATCACGCTGGATGTGTGCTGCTAGACTTGTCAAATATGAGTATCGTTGATTTTATTCTAGTTTTCAAGCTGATGGGAAGTCAGAACCGACAAGCAGCAGCGAGGTAAGATGGATTTATTTAAGGCTGAAAGTCAGACGCCAGTCCAAGACGGCTGACTAAACATATGGAATGACTCAGCAAGGTCTTCCACTGTGGTGCCTTGTTCTTCAGGCAGCATATTCCCAGGCTGATTTAGCCCTACCCTGCGACTTCACAGTGAGAGACTACGATTCAACATTCAATCTACCACGCAAATCAGACTTGCAACATGAAGGGAGTGAAGAATCGACTCGAGTCGACCGAAAAATTGAGATCGATATGGACAGAGTTGTATCAGAACAAAGTGCGAACCATATAATCGACACATATATATATTCTCTCTTGGTAGGACACAATTTGAATTAAAAGGTGAGAATAGCACTTGCAAACAAAACCGACTACGCCAACCTTACCCGACAACAAAGACATTAGACCAGACTTTCAAAACCCAACAATACTACCAAGCTCCTTCTCCGGCGTTGCCGCCAAAACCTTCATGTACTCGGCCGTCTTCCCCAACAACCCATCATACGCCTCCGGTGCCATCACATTCACCGAAGTCAACAAATGCAACTCCCACTGCTTTGCCTCATTGACCTCGGAGTAAAGTACAATCTCATTTGGAATGGTCGGAGCGAAGAACTCCTTGATGGTACAGCCCACTCCATCCGCGAAGTCTAGGGACTTGAGGTGCTCAAAGTGTTGATGCACGACCACCGACGCGATCTTAGTCCGCGGGTCCCAGCCAGTGCTTAGCTTTTTGATATCCTCGAAACCAATGGAGCTGTAGGGCATGGTCTTCAGGTGCTGGTTTTGCACATAGTGCAGGAGGTCAAGGCCGGTCCAGGACTTTTGGCGGGGAACGCGCACTGGGATAGAATTGAAGCAGGGGCCCAGGATCGATTCGATGCCTGGGATAGCGACTCCACGGCCATTAACCATCTGTGTGAAGGTCACGTCTCTACGTTCAAGGCCGCTGGAGAGAGTGAGCGCCCATGCTGCCTTGACCAACGTGGCTTGGGTGATTCCCGGAGCCGGCTTGAGGTTCGGCAAGACGCGGGTGGCATAGAGCAGGGTTGGCTCCGGGGGCGGGGTTTGCTGAAGACCGACGTAGCTCATGGAGGCATTCTGGAGGATGTCTTTCCAGGTTTCTATTGCGGCAGGGGTCTTCAGGGTCTCTGCGCGGTAGAGATATTCCGGAAAATCAGTGACTATGGGGGTCGGTTCCCCGCGGTATAACGCTGCAAGGCGGCGATAGAGGATGGGCAGGGTCACACCGTCATATTGGGAGTGGCTGATCCGGATTACCAAAACATTCTCTGTGGGACTGCGCTTCACCAGTGTGAACTGAGTCGGAGCCCGTCCCGGTGCGATTGGTTTCGCGACGTCTTCCTGACAGAGCTTCTGGACGTACTCTGCAAGGTCAGGCTCTTCGCATTCATCCTCGTTAAAGGAAAACATGCTCTTCTTGGGAATGACCTGGATCATGTCGTCATTGTGGGAGACGAAGATGGCTTGGAGAATTGCATTATCCTTCATCAAGGTCTCACAAGCGTCTTTTAGCCGTGGCTGGTCGACTTCGCCCTCAAGAAATAGTTGATAATATTGTGGAGGGCCATAGAAGCGCTTCTGCATGTCTGTCATGGGGAACGCGTCGAGTACATCCTCGAAGGCAAAGTCTGGCAATTGCGGTGCCAGGGTCTCTTTGAAGAAGGTGGCGGCATCACTGACATTCAGAAGAGAATATGGTGCCGGCTTCGTGAAGATATCTTCCTTCTTCTCGACGTCTTCGCTCTCTTGCTGGTCAAGGAAAGCGAGAAGATCCGAGAAGTGAGGGTGAGAGACTAGGTCAGGAACCGTGAAGTGCATTCCTGCCTCACGAGCCAGGCTAACTAGTTTCATGGCTGTAGTGGAATCACCACCCAAGAAGAAGAAGTTGTCTTCCATGCCGACAGTGGATGGCTCTGCCTCGATACTTTCAGCTACAAGCTTCTGCAACAGCACTTCGCGCTCCGTCTGTGGCTGACGCTTCTGGGAGAGCTGCGTGTCGATGCGGCCCTTGGCAGCGTAGACGTCGAGCTCCTCCTTAGATAGCCCTGCTGTAGTCTCGCGTAGGTTCCTTCGATCAATTTTCCCGTTGATGGTGAGTGGCATATGCGACACAGGAATGAAGGCGCCTGGAACCATGTACGATGGGACACGAGACCGCAATCTTTCCTCAGCCTCAGTGCATGCTTGTCGAAACTGCTCATCAAGAGGGAGAAGCATTGCTGTCTCAGTGGAGCGGCGACGAGGCTCTAGCACGAACGCAACCAGGATCTGATGATTACCACGTGCCGGTGGGCTAACGATGTCCACGATCACATCATCTACCTTCTCGAATGAGCTCTGCAGATGATATTCGACCTCAGCTAGCTCGATCCGGTTCCCATGGAGCTTCACCTGGGTGTCCTTTCGCTCGACGAAATGTAAAGTCCCATCCGGATTATAACGGGCCAAATCGCCAGTCCGATACTGTCGGAGACCGTGCTCCTCTGAAGCGCGCGGGATCCAGGAAGAACGTTCGACGAAGACTTCAGCAGTTTTCTCAGGCTCATTTAGATAGCCTCGGGCCACGTTGGCCCCTTCCACGAGCAGCTCGCCCACGGCGCCGATAGGAAGCAAGCGGCGGTGGTCATTACGATCCACCACCCAAACACGGCAACCAAATGCATCTCCAATGTTGCGGTTGTCTGGCGGGGTAATATTGCCTGTGCAAATGATGGTGGTCTCGACCGGACCCCAGCAGTTGCGCACAATGCCGCGCCAGTGCTCCAGGTCCGCTGCCGTCAACATTTCTCCGCACGAGATGATGGTCTTCAGGGTGGGTACATCTGCGGGGTTGAATAACCGATGTACTGAAGGGGTGGTCGTCATGATGTTGACCTTCATGGTGTTTGCTGAGCCCGCGAGATTGCTCGTCCGGTCTAGGTCAGACGGTATGCAAACACACCCGCCGGCCACCAGAGTTGCAAGGATGTCTCCCACACTCAAATCAAACGCATGAGAGGAGAATTGGAAGGCGCGAGACTCCCGGTTCAGTCCGGTACGCTCGATCATGGGGCCCACGATGGAGCAAAACTGGCGGTGCTCCAGCACCGCTCCCTTGGGTCTACCGGTGGTTCCGGAGGTAAAGATTGCATAGAGGGCATTGTCGGGGCCGGCAGCGGGCTCGGGCACGATTCCATCATTCTCACGCCAGGTCAAATCCTCTTCACCTACGCGCACGACGGCGGGAGCGAGGCTCGTCGCTAGTGCCTCTGTCTTGCTGGAGGCCACTGCCACCTTGGCCTTGGTCTGTCGGCAAATGTCTTGCAAGCGCTGGATGGGATGGCCAGGATCCAGGGGGACGAAGGCACCGCCTGCCTTGATAACACCCAGCGTAGCAACCATGTTCCACTTGGACTTTTCGAACACAATAGGTACGAAGGTCTCCGGTCCGACTCCTAATTGCGCCAAATGGGCAGCCAGGTGGGACGAGAGCCCGTCCAGCTCCTTGTAGGTAAAATCACCATCCCATGCACAAACCGCCGGGCTCTCCGGGTGTGCCAGTGTTTCCTTGGCGATCAGGTCCTGAAGCCGGGCATTGACATTGATAGGAGGTTCTCGATTCCATTCCAACACTTGCGAGTAGTCCTCGGAGGAGATGGTGGGCAGGTCGGTTAGTTTCGCCTCTGGGTGGGCGAGGACGTTCTGAAGAACGAACGCGAAGTGGCGAAGAAGTTGGGTCGCAAGCCATTCTTGTGGCCCAGTTTCATTGCACCAAGCTTGTAACTGGAGTTTTCCTTCAACCGGCTGGCAACTGAGAACGAGAGGATAATCGCTGTACCGCACGATATCGAACAGAGGAGCTTCGGGAGACTCGAGAATCAGCAAACTGTTCTCCACCCAGCCGGCCCCCGTCGCGATACTTCGGTGACTTGAGGCATTCTGACGCTCCAGCTCATCAAGTTCCACCGCTACCGTTCTCTCGAGATTCAAGTGGATCTGTACGGGGACGATCGTGGAGCTAGCGGTCGCGGCAGGTTTGTCGTAGGTGATCGTCTTGAAGACCGCAGTGTCGGCCCCATGAAAGGTCGACAGTGTCATGGCCCAAGCCAGCTGCAGCGCAGCAGCGCTCCGCTCACCGGCCTCAGCAGAGACGGTTACAGACTTCATCTTCGTGCTTGGGCGGGTAGTGCTTGGTTTCTGAGATGGTCAAAGAGCAGGAGGCATATGAGTTGCCGCTTTCAGCCGCCAAGTCTACCACCGCAGCGAGTGCAGTGGCGCAACTTTATTGCTCTCGTGAATCTCGTACTTGCTTGTTCTCAGGCCTTCCGAAGCCATCGGACAAGATGGACCCTGGATGCTACCTTGTCAGGGGCTAGGGCTCAGGAAGGAAGCAAAGGATGTGAGGTCGTATCATATGAATCATGGATCTCTCATCAAAATACCCGATACCGTTATATGTGACCATGACCGTTCGTATTGACAGATTATCAGTATGGTAAAGACTGTACTGGCCCCCAATACTAGTAATCTGTTTCACATTCCAAGCATCCAAAATAAATTGGGTGATATTCGATTTTTCAGAAATCAAAACAATGGAAATAAAAAGAATAATGATGGGATCTGCGGCTTTTTTCCCACCAGCCAGGGTTCCACGTGGTTTGACCAGCTTCCTGAAGAAGTAGGTAATTAGTGCTTGGCTACTGCAGTGTGATAATGCTAATTTCTCACTAGTATCCGATGCATGGCCATGTGTCACCACCATGTGGCTCGAGCCCATCCTTTTACCATCCTTTCATCCTCGGAAAAAAGCGAAGAAATTGTTGCCGACACTTGGAGTCCGTCATTTGCCAACGCGAAAAGGCAAATCCCGAGGGCTCAGCTTAGTTACAGGGCGTATGACTGACTAATTCGATGCGGTTGTGGTTTTCGTCATCTGGAGACAAGATCGCCTAAGATGGTGACGGTGATGACGATAGCGTGTCAATGCTACGGACTCGAAAGCCTGGATGGATCTCAACTGAAATTGGGATGGATTACTATGTGATGCTACTGCGCTTACAAATTCTCTCGTATACCAGGGGAAACCTTCTCCAGTTCTTCTAACAGCTCCTTCAACAACTTCTCCTGCGTCGCATGGCCTTTCTCGCTGCGTACAGCAGCTGCAGGTCTATCCATACCCAATCAGCATTTGCATTCCCCGCATTTAGCAACAAGAAAAGAAAGAAAGAAGAAAAGAAAAAAGAAACTTACTCGGTCACTTTGCAGTCGCGCAGATACTTCCCATGTGTCTCGCCATTGTCAGGCCCCGCAGCATGGACTAACGTACGACTCCCCTCCTCTGCACTGCGAGCAAGTACTGCCTTGAGGGGACTAATCAGGATTCGAGCGGCGAGAGGCGTCTCACGGAGAAGCCCTGTCTTGCAGAGGCCCGGCGATACCGCGTTGATGGTCACTGCAGGCTTGTTGGATTGACTCAGGTGCTCGGCCAGCGCACGCACCAGGTACAACTGGATAAGTTTAGATGTATCGTAGCTGAAACCCAAGGAATACATTGATTAGTTGACCGGGGTGATTGGGATGAGGAATTCGATCAGGGCTTTCTTACCGTTCACCCATGTTCGACTTCGCCTTGTCCTTGAGCGCGTCGAAGATGCGATCGGCGTCTTGCTCGGGGAACTCAGTCGTCTCATGGCCTTCGCTAGACACCACCACGACACGGGGACGAGCATGGTGCTGAGTAGCGGTTTCCCGCAGCTTGGGTAGGAGGGACATCACCAACAGGAAAGTCGAGAGCACATTCACCTGGATCGATCGCTCCATGCCGCCAATGAGAGTCCATTCGCTGGTTGAGATGCCGGCATTTGCCACCACCACGTCCAGGCGAGGGAGGCCAGTTGCCTTGGTCGTGAGATCCTGAACGCTCTGGACCTTCTCCAGATCCAGCGGCCACACCTCGACGACGCCTTGGATCTTAGTTGTAGCTTCAATCGATTCTTTGGCCTTCTGTCCTTTCTGCACATCGCGCACTGCCAAAATGACGGTGGCGGCTTGCAACCGCACAAAGTGTCGTGCTGCCTCCAGACCGAGGCCGGTATTGCCTCCGGTCACTAGGATTACAGCATCCTTGAAGTTCTGGGTCGGATGCGGAAGTTGTGAAAATTGAGAGGAGAAGAATCGAGAGATGTACGAGCGCTCAGGTTCTGCCATGGCTGGTCGTACGTTGTTCAGCACTCCAGGACTGAGTGAGTGGTTTGAAGACTGCAGAGAACATGGCTCCGAACTCGCCGCATTCGAGATTAGATATGAGCGCAAAGGCCAACAGAATGAACAGACTGTCACTAACACGACACACTAAGATTCGTTGCCAAGCTCTGAGACAGTATCTAGCTGCCTTTCTTTTTTTTTTTTTTTTTTTTTTTTTTGCCTCTGGGATGCAATGCACCAAGAATCCTGCGCGTTGTGCTGCTTACTCGGGAAAACCCTGAAGGTCCTCAGCTTCAATCTGCCTCATGGCGCCAAGGAAGTAAACAGACCCCTGTCGATCAAAACCATAGATCGGATTAATAATGTTGACCGGCTGCGAAATCAGAAATAAATTAAAAGCAAATCCTTCGAGACAAGTGTCTGCGGTATCACACTAACAGGAATTTTCATACATACTGTTCTGCCGTAACTTGGGGGCCGTTACCCAGACATGATACATACCGGTACAGTACCACGCATAACCATCAATACCTTCTATATACCAGGATATCAATCCTTCTCATACTTCCCCATGACGCGAGAATCCTGAAATTGTTCAACAAGCATACTACCCACCTTCCCTCCATACGCAGTGAGTCATTTAGAAATGATGGGAAATGTATCTTTGGTGGGCTCACGGTGGCTCCACGTGGGATTCGGATCTGGGTTGAGTAGGCTGAATCAAAGGGCACGAAGAAAGAGCCTTGTCAGCCCCGGTCCCAAATATCAGGTGAGGTTAAGATTTGGCACAGATTACAGCAGTCTAGCTCGCTTCCAGATCTTATGATGCGAATCACTCCTTGACTTGGTAGTATTTGAGTTGGGGCAATTGACTTTCAGTACACTGCATACTTTCTGCCTTCTTGCGAGGACAGGCAAACATTGTTTTCCTGGTTGAGACGCATCGCATCGTATATCGGTCTGCAAGATGTTGCTGGCTTCATTTGCTTCGTCTAACTACTTCCTGGCCGCGTTTGTCGCGTGCATGGGCGTGACTGTACTTGCGGTATGATGAACACGCCTGGGTTCCTTGGCCGTGAGAGGCTTGGCTGACAGTGATGGCAACAGCTCACCGGCCTTTGCGTGTATAGATTGTTCTTTCACCCCTATGCCAAATACCCCGGGCCCTTTCTGGCAAAGCTCACCAACTACTATGCTGTCTACCACTCGTGGAAAGGTAACCAGCATGTGGACATGTGGCGCTGCCACGAGAAGTATGGTAGGTGAAGCTAGCCTGGCTGTCGAGTCAATTTTTCAGTTCAGCCTGAGGCTGATCTGACACCGTCGCTACCACTTAGGCCCATATGTCCGTTATGGACCCAACGAATTGAGCATCAACACCGCTGTAGGACTGAAAGGTGCGACGCCCCAGAACACTGTTCTCCGGCGGGGGGAAATGCCATGCTGACCTTACACAGATATCTACGCCCACGGCCGCAACTTCAAAAAATCGGTCAAATACAACGCGATGGTGCATCAGGCCGCAAACACCTTGACGACAATTGATAAGCGCAAGCATGGCAAGAAGCGCCGCTTGATCAGCCAAGCCTTCTCCGATGCGGCGTTCCGGAACTACGAAGAAACCATTCAGGAGAAGATTGCGCAGCTGTGCACAGCTCTCCGTCGCCAGGATGACGACTCACAGGAGCTGGTTCCGGATGGGACTTGGGGCCCAGTGAAGAACATGTCCAAGTGGTGTAAGTTCTTTGTGCATTGACCCCTGACGCAGCATGGGTATTGAAGGCTCTAACCTAATGGGACAGGCGACTGGTTTACCTTTGATGTAATGTGCAGCGTGATCTTCGGCGTACCCTGGTCATCCTTGACAGAGAAGACATATCGCCATGTGCCACACACGATTGAAGTGTCCAATGTGCGCGTGGGCTGCTTGATCGAAGCTGGTGGCTCCAAGAACCTCAAAATCGACAAATACCTCTTCCCCGCAGCCATCGCGGCACGGAATCAATTCGTCAAGTTTGTGAACGACATCATTCGTCAGGGTATGGCCATGTCAGCCAAGGGATCCATGAAGGGGGCATTCGCCTTGCTTCGGGATGCAACCGACCCCGAAACCCAGGAGCCTCTCTCTTTCAAGGAGCTCTGCGGGGAGAGCGCAACCCTAGTGGTCGCCGGTATGTATCTACCTCCTCCTCCTCCTCCTCCTCC